CGAGGATGGGTTCAAACTCTCATCTTCCTCCTCCTAAGCCCTCTCAATCAACACAGAAACTACCACAACTGCCAAGTGGCTGAGAGTTCGAACTCCGAACTAGTTTCAAATTTCCAGTTTTATTCAGTTCTTATATTACTCATACAACATACCCATAGTGCTTCAAAAAAATTCAGCCGTTTATTTCTCATTCTAGTGTCACAAGAGCTGCAAAGAAATCCAACATTACGATTCTAACACAGTGAGTGGCTTGTACAAGATCCGTCCATTGCAGAATGCTGAACCCATTGAGGTTTACTGCGAACTAGAAACTGAAGGAGGTGGCTTTACTTTCCTTCCTGGAAGCCTCACTCTAAGATCAGATGTTCAGCAGATCATCAATGCCCTTTTTAAGGACAGGAAAAACGTTTTGCTAATGCTGCGGAAACAAGTCGACTGGACCGAGTCTTACACTCTGATCCAGCCCCATCCCAATTTCGTCAACACTGATTTTGGAGTTTTGATCAATAGCTACTCTGGATACACTGCACCAGAGAACAAATTCATGAGAAATTACATCTTCCTTGGCATCATTCCAGCATCAGCAGCAAAAAGTAAAAGAAACCAAGGCTTCAGATCCAACGGAAACGTTATCCAGTTTTACAACTGCGATGCAAATCCAAACAGCCTTTTTGCGTTCATGCCAAATTTTTATCTTCAATCTCCAAGCAGCTATGCTTCGCATTCAAGTTACGAAGACAAAGGCCTCGCAGTGAACTGGTGCTCAAAGGGTATTTCCATCACATATCGTGATCGCATGCCTAACAAATTCTACTTCTTGACGGAGCTCCATTTTGGAGGCTGTGGCTGTTACACCTCCAGCAACCGCTGGAAGGATGGCTTTAACGCTGCCGCCATTGGTATTCGCTGAGAACTTACTAACTTTCCCTTCCAGCTTGATGATGAACGAGCTGAAAACTGATGGTTTAATTCAAAAGTAATTTTTCGGTGGTTGTTATAACCAGTGAATTTGCTTCTGCGCCTTAGCCAGATAAGGATCGTAGGGGCCATACACGCCAATCAAAAATACTTTGACCCCGGTAGGATTCCAACTAACGACCTCCGGATTAGATCACCATTGTTCCAACAGACTGAGCGACGAGACCAGGTGGACGCAGGCCCGGCGAAGTAGCTTAGTAGTCCGCCCAGTCGGGGTGGTGGGCAATGTGGATCTAATCCAGACGTCATGCCCTCGAATTCTAACAAGGTCATGGTTACCTTGGAAAGCATGCAGACGATAAGCACTTTTAAAGAGCTTTCCATTAGACTCAAAGTAAGCTTGGCTATAAGCTAATCAAAAGCGAACCTCAACAGACAAATGTGTAAAGATGTGAAAACTGGATTGATTGCATTGCTTTGTGGAAGGTTAGATTATTTTTTTAGAATTCTTTCGATTTACATATAACTTTTTATATTTCATATTCTCGGGTGACTGTATTGCATTGTATTCTACATTTAGAACATTTTTGAGTTGCGTTTTGCCTCTGCTTCAATACGTGCGCAAACTTTTCTTTATTGAACAAAATAACCATAACTCCATGAAAGATCATATATTCGAACTCTGTATCTTCACCAACTACGGGTATATTACTGAAAAACTCAAAACGAGCCTAGCTCCCGGTTGGCTAGATAGCTCAATTGGTAGAGCACTGCACCGGTATCGCAGAGTTCGTGGGTTCGAATCCCGTAAAAGCCTGAATTTTTTTCAAGCTTTAATTCCACAGCTGCCTAAGCTGGGTATATAACTGCGATGATCAATCATGTCTTCATATCATTCTCCGCAGTTCAAATATATGCTCTTTCTTATATTCACTTGCAGACAAATTACTTTGTATACTTTTTCAGAAAACAACGACGGCGTAATTCAATAGATTTGATCTCATTAAAGCGGGAAATAACAGACATTCGAGGTGGGGGGGAATACGTTTATTGTAATTACAGTTTAAAGTTTACCGGGACGTTTTGCATAGTTCCATACAATTCTCTTTTCCGTGTCACGTTCAGCTGATTTATAAACTGACTGTGAAGCGATACGGAATTTTTAAGCAATTTTGCATTTTTTTTGACCGATATTTGCATCTGGTGAAAAAAACGCATCAACAGCAACTTCCAAATTCATTGGTCAAATGAATTAAAATGGCATTTAAAAAATATCCTTAGCTAAAATGTAATAGACAAAATACGACTCTGAAGTACTCAGAGGTTTATAGTTAGATGACGTAAAAAGCTACAATTTTCAACTACAAACTTGAAGTGACAATGCATTCTCCTCCACAGAATCGTGACAGTCTTTCGGAATCAATCGAGATCCGCGTGATTGCAGAAACCTCGCAGTTTTTCAATTTAAAAAATCATTTTCCATCCGTAATGATTTTAACAAGGGCCTGATTGGAAATAGTGTAAACCTCAGCTTAGAGAGATAAATATTTTGATATCTTGCAGACGTCTGAGAAGTTGTTCTGAGATCTCGACGCGGCACAGCAACCTTGTGCCCAGAGTCTTCGTGCCCATTAACCAGCTGTTGGGTACTAAGCCAACCTGAAAAGATCTGATTGGAAGTCGGAAAATATCGGACTTCTAGACGCACTGAGGATGTCTAGCTGACAGATACTGCGCTCAATCGAGTCACTCGTGTTTCACCTCCAGTCATTGTCACTGTTTACAAAACCATCCGAAAATAAATCCTGAAAAGAAACGTCGCATGTTTTGTCAGTTTCGGACGAAGAGTCGAGGGAGGCTTCGTTCCCACTGCTTGTGTCAAACTCTTAGAGCGTTTGGTAATCCCTTAGCAAACTAAGTGTCTCCGTATGCTGCTTGCATCATATTGTTATAGCTGCTCTCTCTCGTTCCCAGTGACTGTAATTCTCTGGGAGTAGTCGTAAGGTGAGCCAGCATTAGCTTTCTTTCAGCGCTGACCGGAAGCGCGCAAAATGAATTTCGACCCATTTTCCAAGCAGCCTAGAGGGGGAGGGGAGGAGAAGGACACTTGATCAGTCTTTCGATCGGTATGTGTATGTGCTGCCAAATTTGGATCCCATTTTAGCCTTTTGAAAATCTTTTAGCCGATNGGGGAAGGGGTGGAGAAGGACACTTGATCAGTCTTCGATCGGTATGTGTATGTGCTGCCAAATTTGGATCCCATTTTAGCCTTTTGAAAATCTTTTAGCCGATTTGAATGCAAGCATTATTAGAGCCATCCAAATAATGAAGTCAAACAACTAAGACGTTCGCGTAATATCTTCCTCTGCCTTCGTCTCGGAAGCGTCATAAAACCCATTCATCAGTCTCTTTTTCTAAATTTCTGTTTTTTCAGGCTGTGGAATAAATACATTTTACTTATACCTCAGTTAGAAATTTTTAAGCCAATAAGTGCACCTTTTTTAGTTCGGCTATAAATTCTGTTACGGCATCGCTCGACCGAGAGAAAGATATGCTAAGAAACTCTTCAACGAACCCAACTTATTTATTTAACAATACGTAATATAATCTTAGCTACAAAGGAACGATTTCTGAGCAATATAATCTACCACCAAACTAAGTTAAGCCTACTGCTAAACTTTAGTCACCACTGACACGACATCACAATGAATCTCGATGTCTCCAAAGAAATCTCCCGTTACGGTCACCTTGACCTTGAACAAAGTTCCTCAATAGCTTTTACAATAACAATAGCACTCTCTAGCTTTTCCACTCGGTCTCTGCCGAGAACTACTAACACTACTACTAGCTAGCTGATTCTTTATATACATTTAACGAATATTCTAGAATGTTCTTGGAGCTTCTATTTATGTAGCATTACATCATAATTACATCATTCGGTAGAATGCTCTAAACTGTTCCATAGCGTGACAGTAGAAGGTTCTGGCACAAACATTGCGTGACCTGACATTCTAGAAGTTTCCAGAGACTTAAATATGTTATGCATCGAGCGAAAAAGACAAGACGTCCATAATGAATACTCTATTTTATTGCCTAAGTAGCCAGGCCCGAGTTGATCCGGGAACTCTGAATTTCGCAAGAATGAAATGCGAGTAACGCGATAACAGTAACGTGATATAATGTGACATCCCCCCACCTCTTAAAAAAAGATCAATAAGTAATGGCGAAAAATCAATAACTAATAACACACTGTTGGCAAACGAAGGTTTGCTCTTTCGTGAGTTCCTTGCTTTTCATTGCCCTCCTTTTGTGGCAGGCGTACTACCCGTCCAGATCTGGTAATTTGTTGGTTAACATGGACTACTGGAGTTTCGCTGATCTGCTGTTCCTGTCGCTGTGGTTGAGTGGGCGGAGGGGTGATGGGTCGTCCGATCTGAAGCGGTACTGCTGGCAGTGGCTGTGCGGGTTTAAGTCCTGGAGTTGCTGGCACTGAGGGCTGCATCAGCGGAAGGGGCAGAGGTTGCCTGGGAGTGCGTTCCGGTGGAGCGGCTGGACGCAATTGGGCCCGGTTGCGGCGGAGCACGAAATTGCCCGTGTTGATGCTGCAGGAGCGGGGGGTTGTACTGTCGATGATTTGACCATAAATCCAAGGGCTCCCTCGTTGAGATGGTCGAGGTTTTGCATAAACATGAGATCCCAGTGGGAGTGACATCAGAGGGGCCTGTCTATGCTTGTCATACTGAGCTTTGGCTGCTGTCTTGCGGTGATTAATTTCAGAGGAGACTGTGGGGGATCTGCAATTGCAGGTCTAAGCAGCTCCTCAGAGAGCGCTATCGTGGAGCGGGTGTGTCTGCCGATTAGTCGCTGAGCTGGGGAGAAGGAATGACCACGTGGTGGAGTGTTTCGGATGTTAAGGAGTGCCAAGTAGACGTCTCGAGACCAGTAGGGCGAGGACGTTATGTGTTCGAAGCCGAAGGTCTAGGCGAACTTCTTGTATTCGTGAGACACAAACTGTGGGCCGTTGTCTGTAAGGCAGCGAAGAGAAATCCCGTGGCGTGCGAAGTGGGCTTTAGTAAGATTGATGATGGTGGTTGATAGGGTGTTGACTAGTTCGTCCAACTCGTAGAAGTCACTGTAGTGATCCACTGTGATTAGGTATTGTTTGTGCCCGAACACAAATATGTCTTGGGAGACAAATTGCCACGAAAGAGTTGGAATGGGATGTGATAACATTGGCTCGGTGGCGGCTTGCTTTCCGTATTGGGCGCAAGTTGAGCAGGAGTGGCAGAATTCTTCGATGTCCTTGGACATGCTGGGCCAGAAAACAGCATCTCTTGCGAAACGAAGGCGGTATTCAGGACCCCGATGTGAATGATGGATCTTAGTCAGCATGGGTGGGCGTAGTGAAGGGGGGACAATGGCCCGAGTGGCTTTCAGGAGTATGCCGTCTGGGATACTGAGCTCTTCTCGAAAGTGCCAAAATGCTTGAAGTTGCTGGGGTAGATGGTCTTTAGTGGGAAGCCAACCATGGATTATATAGTGTGGCAGTGACTGCATCTCTTGGCATGAGGAGGTGGCTCTGCGGAGTCGCTCGCGAGTGTCATCTGTGAGGGACGGCGAGGTAGGATCCAACTGTGTGAGATGCGTGCGGAAGACTTGGAAGGTGTCAGTATGGAGGGCGTGGTGGCTTCACCTCGGCATGGAGCTCTGGACAGGGTATCTGCTAAGTGTAGTGAGGATCCTTTCCTGTATGCTACTGTGAAGTTGTATCGCTGTAGGAAAAGCATCATCTTTTGCAGGCGTTTAGGGGCTGAGGCGAGATCTTTCTGGAAGATGGATTGGAGTGGTTGGTGGTCAGTGTGGACGGTGATGTCTGCTTTCCCGAGGAGCCACTGGTCAAATTTGTTGAAAGCTTCGACAATTGCAAGGCATTCCTTTTCTATCTGTGCGTAGCGCTGTTCGGTGGGGGTTAAGCTTTTGGAGCTGTAGGCCACGGGTTGTAAACAGGATTCGTCAAGGGTGCTGCTTTCGTGGTGTTTGCTTGGTTGTAGGAGCGCCACTCCTAGGCCGTAGTCTGAGGCGTCTAATTGGAGGAGGACTGGTGCAGTCACGTCGTAGTATGCCAGGCATGGTGCAGAGGTGGCCAAGGCTTTGGCCTCATCGAAAGCGTGTTGGTGTTTGGCTGACCACAGGAACTGAACATCATCTTTGGTGAGGTTTCGGAGAGGTTAGGTGACAGTGCTCAGCAGTGGGCAGAATTAACTGAGGTAGTTGATTGCTCCCAGGAATCTGCGGACTCCTTGCTTGTCCTTTGGAATGGGCATGTTGACAATGGCCTGAACGGTAACTGGGTTGGGCTGAAGGCCATCAGTGGTAATGAAGTGGCCCATGAAAACTGCTTCCCGTACAAGGAATTTCATTTTGCTGACGTTTTACTTCACGTGGTGCAGTTCGAAGCGCACAAGTACGGCTATGAGGTTGCGGTTATGGTCGATCCTGGCTTCTGCATCTGTAGTGCCACAGCCTGGAATCAGGATGTCATCAGCGATGCTGATGACTTGAAAGCCTTCAAGGACCGTATGGATTCGGCGCTGCCACGCTTCAGATGCTGACGATATGCCAAATGGTAGTCTCGTCCACCTGTAGCGGCCCCAGGGGGTATACATGGTGGTCATCAGGGATGATCGTAATGTCAGAGGGATGTTCTGGAAGGCTTCTTTGACGTCTATTACTGTCATGTATTTCATGCCATGCAGCTTGTGAAGGTTCTCCTCCAAGGTCGGGATGATGTATTTTGTGCGTCTGATGGCCTTGTTAAGAGTCTGGGAAGTGTCGTCGAGAGTGTTCCATTCTGACGAAGGAATTGCGCTGCGAAGAACGGCTAGCTCGAATGGTCTTTTTGCTTCGATGTAGTGATCT